AAGTGTGTCTACCTAAACAGATAATAATCAATAAGTAGTATGTGAATGGTAGGACAACAAGGCATTAAATTTTAACTGTTCAAGGACAAAAAGGACCCAAAATTGAGTTTAGAACACTCACAAATCCGATGCAAAAACTTCAATGACAAAAATGACCCTTAATCTTGAATTAAAAAATAAGAATAAAAATTGTTGGAATTTGAGTGGGAACGTCTAAATAATTTGTGACAAGGAAGAAGAGATTCAAATGAAAAGAAATTTCTATAGATTGGGCCCATGTCTGAGCAGATTGGGCTTGAGAGAGTCCTACTCTTTGCCTCACTAGGGGCACCTATAGGGTAAACTCTAAGAAGGGGGAGGGCAAACAATCCTTCATATGAATCTTTGCACTTAAACACTATCACTCTTTTTTTTTCCCCCCTCACTAAAAGCACTCACGCGCTTCACTTTCTCTTGTCACATCACCATGCTCTTTCTCTTCCCATAGTAACACCCACATCACTCACAGTACAATGCACTCGCTACTTCCTCTCACTTTGATCACTTGATGCATACATCTTTTTGATGTGCACTTTAAAATGTTAATTTTTTAAATTATATAGGAGTTACAAAACTAAATCAAAAAATATGAGAAAAATGAAAGTTGGAAACATAAGCGAGTATTCAATTAATGAAGTACTTGGTTGATAAGAGAAAATAGAGGAGAGAGAAAATTGAGAGAAGAGAAAAGTAGAGCAACACGATTTTCTCTTGCTATGCTTATCTGATCAAGGGAAAATAGGGAGGAGTAAAAAACTGTTAATTTCATATGGACAATGATAAACTATATTTGTAGAAAAATATTTTTATGTACAACAACAACAAACCTTATTCTCTGAGGTGGGGTGAAAATATTTCTATCTAATAAAACTTAATATTTTAACATGTTATTTATTTATTTTTCATTATATATTACCAATGAAATAAAAATATAATTCAAAATATTTTATCTAATTTTAAATTTTATTTGTAAAATGATTAAATATACAATAATCTAAAAAATTTTGAACTACAAGCAAATATAAAAAAAGGGTGGTAGGGAACAAGAAATGAAAGATATTCATAAGTAAATTTTGAAGTGGAGTTTTCCTTCCAAAATCTCTCCATTTTTTGAGAAAAAAGTTTGAAGAAAAAATACGCGTGGGTTCCGTATATTATTTTCATCTCGATATTCTATTCTCTTCCTCTCAATTTTTGGTCATTAGCCAAGCAGGAAAAATGCAATTTTCTTCCCAATTTTCTCTCCCATTTTCTCTAATGCCAAGCATATCAAGTAAAAACCAATACCTGAATTTAAAGTTTTTAGGGAAATTCTTGTTATTTCACTTAAATTTTAATAAATTAAAAATAAAAACAAAATTACTAAAATACTCATATTTTTTCAATAAAATAACTTCCCTTAGCTAAATTGGATTTTTAGTAAATATATTTGATTACTAATTTCCTTAAAGTCCTTTGAGATTTAATGAAACTTTCCTTACAGGAGACCAAACTGAAATTCTCCCCTTTTATATTCAAAATCTTTGCAATAGATTGAATTCTCAACGAAAGTAGAAAAGATTGAAGATTATATATAAAAATAGAATCCAATTTTTGTTTTGTGAAGACAAGTTTAATCTAGCCTTGTATATTTTTTTAAATGTAATTTATAGCATTTTGATGGAAACCTATTAACATCTAAGTTCATGATTTTCTATCCAATGTTAATTAGCAACCAAATTGGACAAAATAATACCAACTTTATGACATAGAGAACAACCACTTGATTAACTTGATTTGTTACACTTAACAATTGTAACTTACTCTAATTGAACATGTGATAATAACTGCACAAATAATTGACAAGATGATACGTGTTATTTCCTAACAGCAGTAATTAGTTTAATTGAAGGTAACTTGGAAATACAAAAATAAAAATAATTCATGATAAAAGAATTCCAGTGTATGCTTAACATCTAAAATCATAATGTACTAGAGATGTACCGCAAATTCTGATCGTAGATGCTTTTCTTATTTCATTAGTATTGTTTCTAGCATAGAAAGGATAAGAATATAAAATAAGGAGAAAGATGTAGGGTCACTGATCTGTCCATTCAAATTTTACTTTCTATTCACATATTAACATTATAGATTCTTTAAATTTTTTTTCTCTTGAAATTCTTATTATTAAAAACAAAGTATATCACATTATTCTTTTTAGTGAATTAAAAAATAGAAGAAATATTTGTCTAAGTCTTGAGTTTATGTTACCATTAGTATATCATGTTAAAAACTTGAAAAATTTAATTATAAAATGTGATATATACATCAAAATACTTAATCTAAATATAATTTGACACTAACACTTATGAGACTATAGTTAAGTATAATCTTTAAAAAAAAAAAGCAAGTGATCTACAAATGTGACCATAGAATATAATTATCAACTAAATTCTATAAGTTATAAACTACATTTATACACACACACATGTATTTCAATACAAAAAATAAAAATTACAATATTGTACGAGCGTTGATGTAGAATATATATTTGAAAGTTTCTTCTCAATTATGAAATGTTAGATTTGGAGATGGGCTTTTGCTTCAGCTACCAATGTACAGTGTCGTTTTGTTTGTATTTAAGGAGACATGGGGGTGAGAAAGTTACAATAGAGACAAACTTTTAAATTTGGCTACTGGGTTGCGCTTATTTTTCCTGCTTTTATTTTCTTTTTTTAATCAAAAGCATAAAACTCTTTACCACCACATACCCATTCCCCGTGTGATTCATTCAAATAAAAATTCCAATTCTGACGATTTGAATTGAATTTTTTTTTTTTTTAGAGTTAAGAACTTTCAGATTTAAATCTTAAAATTATAGAGACCATTCTATATTTATAAAATTTATTAAAGCTCCACAATTCATAAACTTTTAAGAGTATAACTTACCTTACACTTTGTGCAACATTCACGAGCCAACCTTTAATCAAAATTATTTTTATTTAATTTTGAAATTTAGTTTAAATAAAAATTATAATTTATAAAGATTTTAAATTAATTTAAACAGTGTTAAAAATAATCTCATGTCGTAATAGAAAATCACGTATATTAAACTATTTAAATGTGTATTATTTTTAAACAATTTTCCAAAAATATTCTATATGCGCTTTAAAATATTAATTTTTTAATTAATTGCAAATCCACAAAGGCAAATCCATTTTGGCAGAAAATCCATTTTCCTTGCTCTAAATGGAGCTTCATCTGCTCCGAACAAATAAAATGCTTTACAAGACATCCTAAACAGCATTCTAAAATTATTGGAAAAGAATTTTTTTTTTGGCCAACCAAAACTAAAGACTTGTTTTTATGTTTAAAGAATTGTTAGAAAAGAAAATTTCACTCATACACAAATTTATTAACAAAAGAAAAGTAGGAAAAGAAAAAACGTTGTTGTTCATCATAGTAGGAATACTGAGAAAACAACAGAAGAGAGAAAAGAAACTATAGTAACTAGAACATCATAACTTGATGAAAAAATTACCTTGTAAATTATTATTAACAAGATATAGATGTTGAAGCATATCCAATTTTCCAATACCTACTGGTATGTCACCTACAAAAAAAAAAATTGAACTATTAAAGATATAGAATTCAAATAAGTCGCGGATATATCTATTGAGAATATTTCACACATATGTAATAATGACATAAGCAAGATGGCTTAATCCTACAAGTGTCCATATATGATGAATCATTTTTACCAAACCTAACTTGTAGACCCTTATTTCCAGTCCCAGCCCATGTATGTGTATATATATATATATATATATGATGTTATAGCATCTAAATGAACTTCTCTTTTCGTCTTTTGTATTTTACATCAAAGATTATGTTTCATATAAATGCCAATACAACTGCCACAGTAATCAATCTATATAGTCCACAAACCAACAACAACAATTAAAAGATCCAAAGCTGTTGGTTCCTATTTTGCATTAATTAAGCAAAAGCAAAATTTACACTTTAGGCATGTCCTTACCATCGTCCCGTAAAGAACAATAATTAATGGGTTACTTTTAGAATTCACATACATAATATGCATATTTTGAACATACAAGTAAATAGATAAGACATAAGTTGGTTTTTGACTCTAAAATGGACAAGTCATTGAACAATTACCAAAATGCCATATATTAAGAAGGTAATATATTGGAAGAATTACAATGAAGTCCCAAATAAGGATACAATTTGTCAAGACCCTAACAACACATGCAACCTATAAGCAACATATTGAGCAGTAATTGTTTGAACAATTTTAAATCCATAAAGGCAAATCCATTTTGGCCAGCATATCCATTTTCCTTGCTCTAAATGGAGCGTCATCTGTTCCAAACAAATAAAATGCTTTACAAGACATCATAACCAGCATTTCTAAATTTATTGGACAAGAAATTTTTTTGGCCAACCAGAACTAAAGACTTTTTTATGTTTAAAATATTGTTAGAAAAGGAAATTTCACTCATACACAAATTTATAAACAAAAGGAAAAGTATGAAACGAAAATGCATTGTTGTTCATCATAGTAGTAATACTGAGAAAACAACAAGAGTGAGAAAAAAAAAACTATAGTAACTAGAATATCATAACTTGATGAAAAAATTACATTGTAAATTATTATGATCAATATATAGCTGTTGAAGCATATCCAATTTTCCAATAACTTTTGGTATATCACCTACAAAAAAAAAAAATGCACGCTTAAAGATATAGAATTCAAATTGGTCATAAATATATCTACTGAGAATATTTCCCACATATGTGATAAGGACATAAGCAAGATGGCTTAATCCTACAAGTGTCCATATACGTTGAATCATTTTTACCAAATCTAACTTGTAGACTCTGTGTGTGTGTGTGTGTGATATAGCACACTGAATGAACTTCTACTTTCCTCTTTTATATTTTACATCAAAGATTATGTTTCATATAAATGCCAGTACATACTGCCAACCAAAGCTGCTGGTTGGCAGTACAGCCCACCAACCAACAACAGCAATTATAAGATCCAAAGCTGCTGGTTGCTCTTTTGCATTAATGAAGCAAAAACAAAATTTACACTTTAGACATGTCCTTACCATCGTCACCTAAAGTACAATAATTAATCAGTTACTTTTAGATAATCATTTAAATGTAAAACCAAAATTTCACACACATAATATGCATTCTTTGAACTAATTAATGGGTTACTTTTAGATAATCATTTAAATGTAAAACTAAAATTTCACACACATAATATGCATACTTTGAACTTACAAGTAAACAAATGAGACAAAGGTTAGGTTCAAATAAAATTATATCATAACAATATTTGGTCAGTGCAGTATTGGCAAAAAGCAATTAGAGACTGTTAAACCAAAAGAATTATACTAGCACAATGATATCATATTTATAATTTTCAAAGGTAATTGATATTGTAAATAATAACAAATTTCATAGTCAATATATATATATATGTCACTTACATTTTTAAATTTTGATTATTGGATTTTGGAATATATAGATCCTTCATTGTCAACTAAATTAGACATTGAAATTCAGATATTCAATTTTCTGGTGAAATTTAAAATTCAATTTTAGATAAAAATAATTTTCTAGAAGATATTATTCATTGAACAAACTAAAACTAGTACGGGCTAAGTAGTATAAACACAAACTTATTTTTATGTCTTTAAATCAGTGACAAGAAATTTAAAAACAATGAAAGATGTTTGATGGAGAATAAAGATAGATAAATGACTTTGGGTGAACAAAAAACAGAAACAAAAAAGATGCTTTTTTATGCATTAACTTCACTTGAAGATATTAAAAAAATATTAAAGGATTAAAAGAAAAAAGTTTAGCATATTAAGGAATAAAAAAGTATAGAATGTCTTGCAGACCGTTTTATAATTCATCACTCTCTTAAAAAAATAAAAGCGGAAAAAGAAAAGGCCTATGTTTAACATGACATTTTTTTTTCTTACAATGATGTGATTTTAATTAAATGTTTTATTCAGCATGTAAGTTTTACATACTGCCACATAAATCAATCTGTTCTACCCACGAACCAACAAAAACAATTGTAAGATCCAAAGCTGCTGGTTCCTCTTATGCATTAATTAAGGAAAATCAAAATTTACACATCAGACATATCCTTACCATCATCACTTAAAAGAACAATAATTATTGGTTACTTTTAGATAATCATTTAAATGTAAAACCAAAATTTAATGCACATAATATGCATACTTTGAACCTACAAGCAAGCAAACAAATGTGACAACGGTTGGGTTTAAACTCTAAAATGGCGGCTTGTACAAGTCTTTGAACAATTAACAAAAATGCCATACATTAAGAAAGTAAGATATTGAAAGAATTACAACAAAGTCCGAAATAAGGATAACCTTGACAACACGTGCAAATTATAAGCAACATATTGAGTAGTAATTGTTTGAACAATTTTCATGGTTTTAACGTAACTACAAAAGGAATTCTATGAATCATCTAAAGTAACAAATTGTCTAGCGGCAAAAAGAGGATTACAAAGTATATTGGATTATTTTATGTTACTCAAATTTAAAAATTTTATTATCATTTAGGCTAAAGTATGCATTTAATCATTTAACTTTACACAACATTTTATTTTAATCCCTTAGCTTTATAAGGTGTCTTTTTAGTCCTTTAGTCTTAATATTGTTAGTTTTAGCCTAACAAATTTTTACATTAAACTTTCAAATATTGATCAAAAAATCTCAAATGTTGACATATTAAGTTTAATTTTTTAAATAATAATAATTGACACAAAAATAACCATTTGAAACTAATAATGCTAGTGTTAAAGGACTAAAAAGTTACTTTACAAAATTAAAGGATCAAATTAAAACCTTATATAAAGATAGAGGACTAAAAGTATAGATTAGCCTATCATCAACATATCATTGGAAAATAACAGTTACATAATTATCAATCATTAATGTTCTTAGGGAAATTAATTTGACAGAAGTACACTTTTGCAAAGCTGTTGTCATCAATGCACAAAACGCACTAACTTTAGTAACTTGAATGCCCCACATAGAAGGGCACGGAGCTGGAAAGGCAAATCTTCAAACAATCAATAACACAAAAAATTGTGTTTTGGATATATGCAACATACTTACCCACAAAAAAAATTTATTTCTTCTTTTATTTTTTAAATAGCTAAATAGATTTCACAGCCAAAATTTTATCATATAAAGTTTATAAATTTTTCATTTCAAAATGTTTGAGAACACATTTGATTGAAGAAATACATCAAATCCAGATGATATTTGCGAGGAATATATATATATATATATATATTTAATAATTAATCACCAATATGAAATATCTTCTTAATCATGTTGCTTCTGTTCTATACCGCGTGCGTCACCAATAAAAAGCCACAAAAATAACACAAAATTGATAAAAAAAAAAAGTTACACATTATGATTAGTTGAAAGTATACCTTCTAAGTTGTTTTTACCAATATTTCTTGGTATTTGACTAGACAACTTGTCAGCACTTAGGTATATAATTTTCAGGTTTGTGAGAGCACCAAATGTTTTGTGGATATCTCATGCAATATGGTAATGAGAAAACCAGATTATTATGAGTGCTCATCTATGAAATGATTATGATAAAAGGGAAGAATAAGTAATAAATATAAGCTTAAGAATGCATTCTTTTGACTTAAGTAACAAGTATAAAATTTTTATGATGCCCTTCTTAATTAATAAAAAGTATTTTAGAATTTTTGATGAACTATTTTCTACATAGTTAAAAATTAAATTAAGGTTATATATTTTAAAAGTATAGGGTGGTTTCAGTAATATTAATAAATTTAAAGATAAATGGATATATTTTACACTAAAAATGAGTCATAAATAATATGAAAAATTTCTAACAATATATATCGTAACTCACAAAACATTTTCAATAAAAACTTACATATATAAACAAATTTAAAATTACTGAAAATAATTATCATATGAAAAATGGGTGAAAATAGTATATATATATATATAATATATATACACAAATTTAAAATTACCAACAATAATTATAATATGAAGTACGTGCTTTGAAAAGTTAATGTGTTGTCAATATGTTTTATTTTTATATATTTATATTTATAAGCTTTATATTATTAGACGCCATCAATTATCTAATAACATTCCTCTCAGATCCTAAAATTAGTAAATTACTTTTAAAAATATTGATAATAAAAATTAAAAATGAAAAATTTAAATACTATAGCTTATGTATATATCTATATATATTTAGCAATTTTTTTTTTCATGCCATTCACAAAATTCTTGCGTGTGAAGAGCTGTCAGTTGATAGATTGATTACACTTATAGGGTAATGCAAAATCTCAGATCAATCAAAATGATAGCAAGTTTAACCCAAGGCGCGCACACACACACACACACACACACGCAAAACTTAACGGCCCTTGATGAATGTTTAATTAATTTATACGCATCATATATTTGATTTATTTCAGTGACGGGCACTTATATGATATAGCTTGAACTTGTTATTTGGATATTTTATAGAAAAGATTGTAGGGTAAAAGAATAAATTAGCTCCGAAATTATACATTCGAGAGCATCTAGGATCCTAAAACTCATTAAATGTGCAACATTTTTTTTCAACTTTTAAAAATAGTGCAACATAACTCCTATTACTAACAAGAGTTAACTTTGACTATTGGTTGAAGGACCTCAAAAATCACAATAAAAAAATTAAAAAATTTATCGGTCTTTTTCAGTAATTTTTTAGGTCATTGTTTGTAATTTATTTGCCTTTTTTTTTTTGGTTCATATAAAGCCCAATATATGCCATGCTGCTACTCTAATCATATAAAGCCCAAAAATCAGAAGTTGGTTCCATGCCCGCTTATTCCATTTAATTGAATTGTAATGATGTCTATAGCCAATAAGAAAAAACACATAATTAACTTAAGAATTTAATTACACTTGATACCTGTCCTTATCGTCATCACTTGAGACATGTTTCCTCATTTTTCCCTGACTTTTATATAACTTTTTTATTTAATTCTTTAGTGGACCTTCCCTTTGCTCCTATTTCCTATTTGCTATATATCTGGAATAATGAGCAGAATTGATTGATTGATAAGTAACAAAATTGGACAAACCAACGTTAAATAAGATGTTGGATTTCTGAAAATGTGACATACTTTAAAATAGTTGATCCATCCAAATTTTACTTCCGGTGCACATAATAACATCACATATTCTTTGAATTTTTTTCTCTTGAAAAATAATGAACGAAATGAAAACAATAAAAAAGAGTAAATAGTTTGGATATATGAAAATGTGATATACTTTAAAATATTTGACCAAAAATTTAAATATAAAATGTGATATACTTTAAACAATTTAATCTAAATATATTATGTCATTGAGATCATGGGGCTATAGTAAGTAGAGTCTTGTTTTACAAAAAGGGTAAGACTACAAACGTGATGATAGAATTGTCAACCAAATTTAAAAGTTATAAACTAAATTTTTGTATAATTGTGTGTGTGTGTGTATCAATAAAACAAAATAAAATTTACAATACTATGAGTGTTGATAAATATATATGCTTAAAAGTTACATCTCAATTATGAATGTTAGATTTGATGATGGGCTTATGCTTCTGCTATCTAATGTACAATGTTGTTTTTGTTTGTATTTGAGGAGATATTAGAGTGAGGAAGTTAACAAAGAGAGACATGTGCAACATTCACAAGCCAACATTTAGTTAACACTATTTTTATTTAATTTTTAAATTAGAAAATTTTCATTTAAATCCCAATAAATTTTTATAAAATGAAAAAATGAAAAATTACTCAGACACTCATATTTTTTAAATAAAATAATCTTTCTTTATTAAAATTGGATTTTAGTAAATATACTTCATTAAAATCCTTTGAAATTTAATGAAATTTTCCTTACAAGAGACCTGATTGAAATTCTCCCCTTTTATATTTGAAAGCTTTGAACCAGGTTGAATTATCACTAAAATTATAAAAGATCACAAATTATATATATATATATAATCCAACTTTTGTTCTCTAAAAGCATGTTTAATCTATACTTATATATTTTGGGATATATAACTAATAGTATTTTGATGAAACCTATTATCATCTAAGTTTATAATTTCAAGTTGCACAAGACAAAAGAAGTGACGGGGAAAATTGAATGTAGCGAATTATAATTTGCATTAAAACTATACCTTGTAAATTATGGGAACCAAGATCCAATTCCTGAAGCGAAATAGAGCTTCCAATGTTTCTTGGTATGTAACCAAAGAGATTATTAGCATCCAAGTAAATAGCTTTAAGATTTCTGAGATTGGCAATTTCATTGGGAATATCTCCTGCATTATCAAAATAACAAAAATAAAAAACACTGATATGAGTGCTTTTGTATAGATTATAGAAAATAATAAAAATAGAATACAACATTTTGTAGATGACTGTGGTATATATAGTGTATAGAAAATCATATAAATTTAAAAATCATTTAAAAAAATATCTCTTGCATTATGGCTCAAAGGACCCCAATGAAAAGGACAAAAACTAATAAAAGCATGCATAATAGTTGTTCCTAACGGTGAAAAGAAAACTAAATGATGTTAATACACTATGTTATGTTGAAAGCATGGTGGTAAAGTTTCCAATATCACAACAAAATTAAAATATAATTTGTAGATTCATTTATCGCCCCCCACTCAACATAATCAATATATATTTAACCTCCCCTTTCCAAAAAAATCAATAATGTTGAATAAGAAATTGTAAATAGATTATCCTAAGACACACTAACACCTACAAAATTATATTGTTTGAAATGATTTGTAGAGAATATGAATTTGGCTAATATTATGAAAGACATGCATGTTAAAGAGTTGTGTGATAAAGACATCCACTCAAATGAAGATAAACTAGAAATAGGTGGAGTTATTTTTCCTGTAAGATTGTGAACTTGTAAAAGTAAAATGGTTAAATGTTGAAGCCTTCCAACCTCAAGTGGAATATATCCATGGATAAACTTAAAAGTCCAAATCAAAGCCTCAAACTTTGACAAATTTGATACACTTGAAGAAATAACACCCCCAAAAATATTACTACAGAAATTCATGTGCTGAAGAGAGCATATAAACTTCCAATCCAAGCTGGAATTAAATTCCAAGGAAGTAGAAAGCAACGACACTGCACTTATTTTGGGTTTCATTGTTTGGGCTTTTGTTTGTAAAGTAATTTAGTTTGAAAGTAATATTCTTTACCCTCATTCCCTTTCATCTATCGATATGTGCATGTTGCATAAATTCAATTTCACAATTATGACAATCCTTCTATTGTCCTCTTCCTCGTCATCATCCATCGTAAAAACATGCCACTTCCATTGTACAATATATATACTATTATATAAAAATATGAACAAATTAGTCAACGAAGTACGTACTTTTGTAAAGTTAATATGTTATTAATATGTTTCATTATATATATATATTTGTATTTTTATGTTTTATATTATTATGCACCATCAATTATCTAATAACATTTCTCTCAAATCATAAAATTAGAAAATTACTTTTAAAAATATAGATAATAAAAATTGAAAACGAAAGTTCAAATACCATAGTTTATGGATATATCTATATCTTAACAAAAAAAAAAATCTCCCATTCACCTTTGATTCTAATTTCAGCCCTAGTTCATGGAAATAGCTTGAAATAAATATAATTATCTTTGGAAAATGTTTTGTCATGCCATCCATAAGATGAGTCAAAACAACTCCAGAGGGATAGATAGTAAATAGTTTAACTCAAGGAACACAAAAAAAAAAAAAAAACCATAAAAGCCCTTGATGAATGCTTAATTAATTTACACGCATCATATGTTTGATTTATTTCAGTTGCCGGCTCATATGCAATATAGCTTGAACTTTTTCTTTTGGCATTTTATACCAAAGATTTATTTTTTATTCATATAAAGCCCAATATGACGATATATGCCATACTGCAACTCTAAACATTCTATAAAGCCCACAAACTTACACCAATAATTAAAAATTCAAAGCTGGTTCCCCTCAAACATTATTAGGCCACATCCAACCAGAAGTTGCTTCCATACCGGCTTATTCCTTTTAATTGAAATTATTATGATATGTAAGGTTGGGTGTCACAACATCATTTCCTTTGTCTTCTGCTTCTTTGATTTTTTTTTTTATCTCTTGAAATTCTTATAATACATAATTAACGAGTGAAAACAATCAAAAGGAATAAATAGTTTTCATATATGAAAATGTGATCTACTTTAAAATATTTGACCAATAATTTAATTATAAAATGTGATATGCTCTAAAATATTTAATCTAAAGAGTAAGTAGAGTCGTTTTTTACAAAAAGGGTAAGACTACAAACGTGATGATAGAATTGTCAACCAAATTTAAAAGTTATAAACTAAATTTTTGTATAACTGTGTGTGTGTTTATCAATAAAACAAAATAAAAATTACAATACTATGAGTGTTGATATATATGCTTAAAAGTTACATCTCAATTATGAATGTTAGATTTGATGATGGGCTTATGCTTCTGCTATCTAATGTACAATGTTATTTTTGTTTGTATTTGAGGAGATATTAGAGTGAGGAAGTTAACAAAGAGAGACATGTGCAACATTCACAAGCCAACATTTAGTTAACACTATTTTTATTTAATTGTTAAATTAGAAAATTTTCATTTAAATCCCAATAAATTTTTATAAAATGAAAAATGAAAAATTACTAAGATACTCATATTTTTTAAATAAAATAATCTTTCTTTATTAAAATTGGATTTTAATAAATATACTTGATTTTTAATTTTATTAAAGTCCTTTGAAATTTTCCTTACAAGTGACCTGATTGAAATTCTCCCCTTTTGTAGTTGAAAGCTTTGCACCGGGTTGAATTCTCAAGTTTAATCTAGACTTATATATGTTGGGATATATATTTAATAGCATTTTGACGAAACCTATTGGCATCTAAGTTCATAATTTCAAGTTGCAAAAGACAAGAAGTGAGAAAAAAGAAATGATCTATAGCCAAATATAATTTGCATAAAAGTTATACCTCGTAAATTATTGTAACCAAGATCTAATTCCTGAAGTGAAGTCAAGCTTCCAATGCTTCTTGGTATGTAGCCAAAAAGTTGATTATGAGTCAAGTATATCATTTTAAGATTTGTAAGATTGGCAATTTCATTGGGAATATATCCTGCATGATTACATTAGCCAAAAAAAAATAAAAACAGAGTTCATATGAGTGCTTGTGCATAGTTTATAGGAAATCATAGAATTAATACAATAAAACTTTATGGAGATGATAATGGACAATATATAATGTATATAAAATCATATAAATTTAAAAACCATTAAAAAAATATCTCTTGCATTATGGCCCCAAGAAACACAAATGAAAAGGACAAAAACTAGTAAAAACTTGCAAATAGTTGTTCCTGATGGTGGAAAGAAGACTAAATGATGTTTGATACACTATATTTTATTGAAAGTATGGTGACAAAGTTTCCAATATCACAACAAAATTAAAATTATATATAATTTGCAGATTCGTTTATCTTCCCCTAGTCAACATAATAGAGTGTGTGTGTGTGTATCCCTGCCTCTTTCCAACAAAATAAATGTTGAATAAGATATTGTAAATAGCTTATTCTAAGACACACTAACACCTATAAATCTTTTTGAAATGATTTGGAGAAAATATGAATTTATCCCATATCATAAAAGACATACCTGTTAAGGAGTTGTGTGACGAAGATATCTGCTCAAGTGAGGATAAACTTGAAATAGTTGGAGGTATTTTTCTTGAAAGATAGTTCCCTGCTATGTGTAAAATCTTTAAATGTTGAAGCCTTCCAATCTCAAGTGGAATAGATCCATGGATGAAATTATCATTCCAATCCAACGTCTCCAACTTTGACAAATTTGATACACTTGGAGGAATAACACCCTTAAAACTATTATTCCAAAAAATCAGGCATTGAAGAAAAAATAAACTTCCAATCCAAGCTGGAATTTTCCCGTCAAATTCATTAGAGCTCAAGTTGAGAATTTTCAGCTTCTGTAACTGCAACAACCCCTTTGGTAACTCACCATGAAAGCTGTTGCTATGAAGGTCAAGTTCAACAAGGGAGGACAAATTCCCCACTTGTGGTTGTAAGGTGCCCGTGAGACTCATGTCAGCAAGATTTAATATGCTTACTCTCTCAGTATTAGCATCACAAGTAACCCCAGCCCAATTACAAATGGAGGAAGTGTTGGACCAATTAGCCAAGTGATTGAATGGATGTCTCACAGAATATTTGAAAGCATGAAGTGCCAAATAGTGAAATTGGTGTGAGATAAAGTTGGGCAGATCATGGGACAGTAAAGCAGTGAGAACATGGAGAAGGAAAAATGAAACCAAAGGTTCACCATGTTGGATTGCTTCAAGGTCTCCAAAATTGAAGTGGATAGTGAAGGTCATGCTATATATATATATATATATATATGTATATATTGACAAGCACTAGTCTTCGATAATAATAAAAGCGGAAAAAATTGTGCATCTAATAAAAGTATTCATATTTATGGTGGAAAAAGGAGTGGAATATTCAAATTCAGTCCAAGAATTAAATGTCATCTTCTTTAATAAAAGGAGGTCCATATAATTAGAGCCTAAAAGAAGGGAGCCAATACATTTTACCCATTTAAACAAGTGATTTAAACTAAACGTGGTTAAAATAAATTCACGGTGCCCTCTTGATTATGAAAAGTCACAGCTGATTTAATATACAGCTTAATTGGCTAAAGGATGATGAGAATTCCTTAGAAACAATGAACACTGTGATCAATCAAGGACGAACCATTTAATCGACCAAAGAACCAGAAATTAAAAAAAAAAAAAGAGATAATGGCTTCTTCACAGAGATCACAAAATCATAAAACTATGTATCTAATATTGCTCTAAGAAATAAGCATGCCAGCCATGAGCTTTATTCGCACCCACAAAGAGATTTATTCTCAAATATCTTTATTGTAAAAAACGTAACATTTTTTAAAATCTTTTATTATTTACTTTGACATGGAGAAACGGTTGTAATTTTGAGATTGTAATTGATATATTTTATAGATATTAAATTGATTTTATACCTATATTTAATTGCTAGATTAAATAGGAAATTTTATTATAAAATTCACCTATATTTCACATTCTATAAATTTTCTAGAAAACGAAAGAAAAAAGGAATCAGAATTAAGAGAGAGAACATAAAGAATAAAATGAATAAGAAATTACAAAAGTACTTTTCAAGTATGACTGGAATTATTGTGCCCCTCTCTCTGCGCTAAAGATATTCAAATTGACTTGATTTAAAATGTTAGTATAGAAAGAAAAGATGAAATTCCTTTTCCAGGGCTACATCAATGAGATGGAAAATGTCTAGGAAATTTCATCAATTATAGAACCTCAGTATTATCTGATATAAAGAAAAATGACAAAATAATATATCTATGTATGCATCACCGATTAAAAATTTAATTATTTTGGTGAAAAATCAACCAATTAGGTTGAATTTATCAAATTGTTGCCAACCAAACAACAATGAAGAGCCAAGACTTCTATTATCGTGCCGTTGAATTTTGCTCCTTCATTATATTTGTAAGAAATTTGGAGAAGGGACTTTGTAGCCTCTTTTATAAAATTTCATGATCACTCACGACTTACAGCATTTACAAAACCTCTATTTATCATTGTTGTTGGCGGCGGCGGCGGCCGCGGCTCAAAATAAATGCATATTTTGATTACTAACGAGAGACAACAATTGTAGTAAAAGAATTGAAGAATGACATGTTGGTTTGATGATTTGTGGTTATGACATAATATTTTAGGAAAATAACATGTTGGCTTTCATTTATATCTTGATGAAATTATTTTTGAATATAGATTATTTAACCTCTAATTGAATCTTAGAAATTTTAATTTCCATGATTGATTGGGAATTGACTCATCATTATATACAACTTAAGAAATTTTTTATTTATTTTAATTTTTTTGGCCATCACTATGTTGAAATAATTGTTAATTATTATCTTATAATATTTAAAAACGTTAACTATTGAAACATATCAATAAATTTCCATTATTTATTATTATATTTGATAACAGTTATAAATTACTATTATATTTATTTAAATACGAGTAATGATATTTGACTTATTTTCACAATGCATGTGACTTCTTTTTCTCTTTGGCTTCAATAATGACATAGTCCATATTCACCTAATATCAACTATATTAATTATTATAAATAAAATAGTCATGTAGAGGTCAACAAATTAAGGTGATCCAGCTAATAAAGATTTAGTCCATTTTCTATGAGAATATAAATTCAAATGCCAGCAACGTTTGTAAGGATCAGAATTTCGTAAGTAAGCTGTAAAAAATTGTAAGTGTCGTATTTTTTGTGAAAGATCTGAGTTTCTTGATTAAGAAAATTTTGTGACTTTTTTTTAATTAGTGACTTGAAACAAGTACACATCCCAATTTATAAAATCTCAATATTATCGATCACATTAATAAAATAAATATACATAAATTATTCTCACATTATTTGTGTTATATCATTGTGCCATTCTGGCCTCTCAATGGGTAAATTAGTCATATTGCTATTAGAAGTAAAAAAAAAAAAAAAAACCTTTACGTTCACTTACATCAATTTTATTTTATTTTATTTTATTTAGATAAAAAGTTTCATTTATCTTCTTTCAACCCATTTCATTACAACTTATAACTACTTCATCCTTTGTGTGTAGAATATAAGCTAAATTAACATTTTGATTTATTGGGCTAGAAACTCTAATGAGTGCAGACCATTGGGTATAGCACTACCAGGTTGAGGATTGGGTCAAGGGGATCATTGCCTTAAATGGTTTTAAGAATAGAAATGCAATATTAATATATAAAATGAAAAGAAGAAAAAGGAAATTTACTTGGTAGTTGATGGACCAAAATAAACCTATGTATGTGTTAAGAATTTGCTTAGGCCTAAATTTTGTGATCTGGCCATGCAATTTAGAATATGATTTTGATATTTACCCATTAATTCCAAACCAATTATATCTTTGAGTTTAAAACCTAACCCCAAATTAATTCATTTTTCTTGGGCTTAATTATATAATTGTCACATGTTTTTAAATATTTATATACGTTAAAATACCTTACCATTAATTTTAAATTTAATTAAATTCCATATCATCACAAGGAAAGTAAGAATAAGTTAGTGCATGGAGAAGAGGCATGCAAAAGCTTCTTTTTTTTTTTAAGCTATATTTCATAGTTATGTGTTTGAAGTTCGCTCCTTGTATTGTTATTTTGATAGCTGATATATGTCATTTTCATGTAATGCGCTATAGCACATGGCTCTTCACATCATATCGCATGGCACAGAGGCGAGTGAGCTATGACATATGTGTCTTAAGCCACAGTGCATGGGTTGTTTCCTACACAAAAACACTGTTTTGAGTTTTAAAACTCATTGTTTTAGACTCTATTTGATTTTCAAGCTTTTGCATTATTTTTAAACTCTAATTTGAGCATTTCAAATGTTTGCTTGAGATAGAAGATATTGAACTTTGGGATCCCATTGTAAATGATTTAAGAATTCTTCTCTTTTATGAAATTTTACAACTTTGGTATTTCTCTGGGGGTTAATCCCTTGATTATCATCTTTATGGAGTTAAAATGTGGTTAAGGGAGACCTTACATACTTTCTTAACTTTAATTTAATAATTTATATTATATTATGCATATCACATAATTTACATTAAAATTGATTTTATGTTATGTTAATAGTACTTCCCAAATTTATATGTAGAGGAATATAGTCCAGCTCAAATGGATGAAATCCTCGAAGAATTGGTTGAATTTAGCCATAGGTGCAAAACAGATGATAACAACCATGCATTTTACTATATCTTCATTAATTTTGTTTTAGTATATAGGTTCTTTACACTTTTTCAAAGTAAGTATTATTTGGCCAAGTTTATGTTTTTGGTAACTTTGGCCTTCTAAAGTTGCAATAGGTTTGCACTTTTTGGCAAATCTTTTCTTGTAAATTGTAAAATAAGTTTGAAGTATTTAAACAATTTTAGAAGTTATAGCTATGTTTCAATAATGGATTCAATTGCATTTGAATTTTGGTTGAAACTGAATTGCTTTGTTATTGGTTGATTTCTGGATGTCTATGTATATTATTTTACAAGGGGGGCTGATCAAAATGCAAACCCTCCATTGTAAAAAAAAAAAATAATAACTATTTAGTGGGTTTTTTTAAATAACCACTAAATACTATCATATATTTAGCGATTGTTATAAAAAAAACCGCTAAATAGTACCTGATAGCTCCTCAATGTTTGCCCAAAATAAAGGCAAACTATATAATAGTTTTTCTTAAATAACTGTTGAATATGTGAACATTATTTAGAGGTTATTTATAAATAACCATTAAATAGTGTACTTGTACATTCGTTTCCTCAAATCTTGCTATAACTATTCAATGGTTTTCTGAAAATAACTGTTATATAGATCTAAACTATATAGCGGCTGAATAGTTGAGTTGGACTATATAGCGCCTTATTATATAATGGCTTAAAACCACTGTATAGTTGCAAAAATAATCGCTTTTATATAGGCTATTTTTTTAGTAGTGTGGCTATGTATACCTCTGTATATCATCTATGGGAACTTTGTAAATGCCGCCTAAGAGGGGTTGGATTGGGCTAAGTAAAAATTTGACAAATAATGCACAATTAAAAGATAAGTTAGGAATGATATCACCGATATGTGTTAAGGGAAGTGATGAGAAGCAGTGCACAAATGTTTATCTTAGTCCAGCTCCAACCACTTAAGCTTATATCTAGTCTTCAAGTTTATACTTGAGATTTCTTCACTTACTCTACCAAGATTGAGCTGTGCTCTTCATTGACACAAACTTCTATTTAAGTCTGTAACTCTCTCCTTATAGAGGTAATTGCAAATCTCCATAAACTCTCCAAGTTTAAGTTCCTTTATTTTGGATAAGAAAAATAGGGATAAATAGAGTAAGTTCATGAATAAATTACTACTATCAAAGACATTTTCTAAGAGTAAATTTACAATTATTGAAGCTCATATACAATGAATATTGCAGTAGAAATTTAGTTAAAATTGAACGCCTATAGTTGAGCAAAATAACTTCTTTGCATTCACTTCATAAATGACTTGTATTCTTAGTTGATATCAAGAATAGATCTAATTGACTCACAAAGTTAGCTATTAGACATCGCTCTTCTTCCCTTTTGCATCTCTTTGGAAAAATTGCAATAAAACAATGCTTTATGGCAAAGTTACGTGCTTTTGGCAACTTAAGGAAAGTAACAGCCATATGCATTTATTGCTCTGGCAGAAGGTAGGTAAGATTAATATAGTAGAGCCAAATGCAATAAAGG